ACACAAAGCCTCAAAAATGAAATGTAGAGCAAATACTGCAGAGCTGCAGCTGGTAAAGAGCAAAAGGGAAAAAAGTTTGTGAATGAAAAGAGAAAGAAGGAATCAGAATCGCCGCCATCGATTCTCCTGAAGGTTCAAACATCACAGATGTTGACCTTTGACTTGGTGTTGCTAGGTTACACTTTTCTATGTTCTGGTTTTTGCTTTTGATGAAAGTGAAGAAAATATCATTTAGTTATGAGTCAAAATGGCATTTAGGTGTTTTGATCCAACAATCATAAAGTCTATGAATGAACCTGATATTTAATGTATTAATGTGCAATAATTCATTTTAATAGTAATTTATCTCAGATAAAAATGACCTTTGATGAGAAACTGAGTTTTGCAGCAACTTTAGAAACGTGGAAAAAGATCTGATGGATGTTGAGTCAGAACAGCAAAAGGTCAGTAAAAGGTCAGCAGAAGGTCAGTAAAAGGTCAGCAGAAGGTCAGTAAAAGGTCAGCTGAAGGTCAGTAAAAGGTCAGTAAAAGGTCAGCTGAAGGTCAGTAAAAGGTCAGTAAAAGGTCAGTAAAAGGTCAGCTGAAGGTCAGTAAAAGGTCAGTAAAAGGTCAGCTGAAGGTCAGTAAAAGGTCAGCTGAAGGTCAGTAAAGGTCAGTAAAAGGTCAGCTGAAGGTCAGTAAAAGGTCAGTAAAAGGTCAGTAAAAGGTCAGCTGAAGGTCAGTAAAGGTCAGTAAAAGGTCAGCTGAAGGTCAGTAAAAGGTCAGCTGAAGGTCAGTAAAAGGTCAGTAAAAGGTCAGCTGAAGGTCAGTAAAAGGTCAGCTGAAGGTCAGTAAAAGGTCAGTAAAAGGTCAGCTGAAGGTCAGTAAAAGGTCAGTAAAGGTCAGTAAAAGGTCAGCTGAAGGTCAGTAAAAGGTCAGTAAAAGGTCAGCTGAAGGTCAGTAAAAGGTCAGTAAAAGGTCAGCTGAAGGTCAGTAAAAGGTCAGCTGAAGGTCAGTAAAAGGTCAGTAAAAGGTCAGCTGAAGGTCAGTAAAAGGTCAGTAAAAGGTCAGTAAAAGGTCAGCTGAAGGTCAGTAAAAGGTCAGTAAAAGGTCAGTAAAAGGTCAGCTGAAGGTCAGTAAAAGGTCAGTAAAAGGTCAGCTGAAGGTCAGTAAAAGGTCAGTAAAAGGTCAGCTGAAGGTCAGTAAAAGGTCAGCTGAAGGTCAGTAAAAGGTCAGTAAAAGGTCAGCTGAAGGTCAGTAAAAGGTCAGTAAAAGGTCAGTAAAAGGTCAGCTGAAGGTCAGTAAAAGGTCAGTAAAAGGTCAGCTGAAGGTCAGTAAAAGGTCAGTAAAAGGTCAGCTGAAGGTCAGTAAAAGGTCAGTAAAAGGTCAGCTGAAGGTCAGTAAAAGGTCAGTAAAAGGTCAGCTGAAGGTCAGTAAAAGGTCAGTAAAAGGTCAGCTGAAGGTCAGTAAAAGGTCAGTAAAAGGTCAGTAAAAGGTCAGCTGAAGGTCAGTAAAAGGTCAGTAAAAGGTCAGCTGAAGGTCAGTAAAAGGTCAGTAAAAGGTCAGCTGAAGGTCAGTAAAAGGTCAGTAAAAGGTCAGCTGAAGGTCAGTAAAAGGTCAGTAAAAGGTCAGTAAAAGGTCAGCTGAAGGTCAGTAAAAGGTCAGTAAAAGGCAGCTGAAGGTCAGTAAAAGGTCAGTAAAAGGTCAGCTGAAGGTCAGTAAAAGGTCAGTAAAAGGTCAGCTGAAGGTCAGTAAAAGGTCAGTAAAAGGTCAGCTGAAGGTCAGTAAAAGGTCAGCTGAAGGTCAGTAAAAGGTCAGTAAAAGGTCAGCTGAAGGTCAGTAAAAGGTCAGTAAAAGGTCAGTAAAAGGTCAGCTGAAGGTCAGTAAAAGGTCAGTAAAAGGTCAGCTGAAGGTCAGTAAAAGGTCAGTAAAAGGTCAGCTGAAGGTCAGTAAAAGGTCAGCTGAAGGTCAGTAAAAGGTCAGTAAAAGGTCAGCTGAAGGTCAGTAAAAGGTCAGTAAAAGGTCAGTAAAAGGTCAGCTGAAGGTCAGTAAAAGGTCAGTAAAAGGTCAGTAAAAGGTCAGCTGAAGGTCAGTAAAAGGTCAGCTGAAGGTCAGTAAAAGGTCAGTAAAAGGTCAGCTGAAGGTCAGTAAAAGGTCAGCTGAAGGTCAGTAAAAGGTCAGTAAAAGGTCAGCTGAAGGTCAGTAAAAGGTCAGTAAAAGGTCAGTAAAAGGTCAGCTGAAGGTCAGTAAAAGGTCAGTAAAAGGTCAGCTGAAGGTCAGTAAAAGGTCAGTAAAGGTCAGCTGAAGGTCAGTAAAAGGTCAGTAAAAGGTCAGCTGAAGGTCAGTAAAAGGTCAGTAAAAGGTCAGCTGAAGGTCAGTAAAAGGTCAGTAAAAGGTCAGCTGAAGGTCAGTAAAAGGTCAGTAAAAGGTCAGTAAAAGGTCAGCTGAAGGTCAGTAAAAGGTCAGTAAAAGGTCAGCTGAAGGTCAGTAAAAGGTCAGTAAAAGGTCAGCTGAAGGTCAGTAAAAGGTCAGTAAAAGGTCAGCTGAAGGTCAGTAAAAGGTCAGTAAAAGGTCAGTAAAGGTCAGTAAAAGGTCAGCTGAAGGTCAGTAAAAGGTCAGTAAAAGGTCAGTAAAAGGTCAGCTGAAGGTCAGTAAAAGGTCAGTAAAAGGTCAGCTGAAGGTCAGTAAAAGGTCAGTAAAAGGTCAGCTGAAGGTCAGTAAAAGGTCAGTAAAAGGTCGTAAAAGGTCAGCTGAAGGTCAGTAAAAGGTCAGTAAAAGGTCAGCTGAAGGTCAGTAAAAGGTCAGTAAAAGGTCAGCTGAAGGTCAGTAAAAGGTCAGTAAAAGGTCAGCTGAAGGTCAGTAAAAGGTCAGCTGAAGGTCAGTAAAAGGTCAGTAAAAGGTCAGCTGAAGGTCAGTAAAAGGTCAGTAAAAGGTCAGTAAAAGGTCAGCTGAAGGTCAGTAAAAGGTCAGTAAAAGGTCAGCTGAAGGTCAGTAAAAGGTCAGTAAAAGGTCAGCTGAAGGTCAGCTGAAGGTCAGTAAAAGGTCAGTAAAAGGCAGCTGAAGGTCAAAAAGGTCAGTAAAAGGTCAGTAAAAGGTCAGCTGAAGGTCAGTAAAAGGTCAGTAAAAGGTCAGTAAAAGGTCAGCTGAAGGTCAGTAAAAGGTCAGTAAAAGGTCAGCTGAAGGTCAGTAAAAGGTCAGTAAAAGGTCAGCTGAAGGTCAGTAAAAGGTCAGCTGAAGGTCAGTAAAAGGTCAGTAAAGGTCAGCTGAAGGTCAGTAAAAGGTCAGTAAAAGGTCAGTAAAAGGTCAGCTGAAGGTCAGTAAAAGGTCAGTAAAGGTCAGCTGAAGGTCAGTAAAAGGTCAGTAAAAGGTCAGCTGAAGGTCAGTAAAAGGTCAGTAAAAGGTCAGCTGAAGGTCAGTAAAAGGTCAGTAAAAGGTCAGCTGAAGGTCAGTAAAAGGTCAGTAAAAGGTCAGCTGAAGGTCAGTAAAAGGTCAGTAAAAGGTCAGTAAAAGGTCAGCTGAAGGTCAGTAAAAGGTCAGTAAAAGGTCAGCTGAAGGTCAGTAAAAGGTCAGTAAAAGGTCAGCTGAAGGTCAGTAAAAGGTCAGTAAAAGGTCAGCTGAAGGTCAGTAAAAGGTCAGTAAAAGGTCAGTAAAAGGTCAGCTGAAGGTCAGTAAAAGGTCAGTAAAAGGTCAGCTGAAGGTCAGTAAAAGGTCAGTAAAAGGTCAGCTGAAGGTCAGTAAAAGGTCAGTAAAAGGTCAGCTGAAGGTCAGTAAAAGGTCAGTAAAAGGTCAGTAAAAGGTCAGTAAAAGGTCAGCTGAAGGTCAGTAAAGGTCAGTAAAAGGTCAGTAAAAGGTCAGCTGAAGGTCAGTAAAGGTCAGTAAAAGGTCAGCTGAAGGTCAGTAAAAGGTCAGTAAAAGGTCAGTAAAAGGTCAGCTGAAGG